TAATTCATGCCCTCAGGATTTATATCTTGTTTGTAGGGCACTCTAATTAAAACTAGCCATTGGAGAGAAGAGAAACCAAGAATGGATAAAAATGAACTTCAACTTACTAGAAAATAAGACCCAAGAATTAAAAAAAACAAACAAACTAAAGAATACCACTTAGGTTGGAAAAAATTAGTCTGTTTTAACAGAAATTGATAAAACTTCATTCAGTTCCTTGTGAAATCATCTAATTAAAAAGCCAGATGAGCAGAGAGTAGAATAGGGACTCTACAAGTAGGTCCAGTGCTTTTTCCTACTGTGAAGGTCATAGTTCAGGAGTGTGTCTCTATAGTACCTACATTTCTACACACTAAATAAATACTGCAAAACTCTAGTTAAATGACTCCAAATACAGTCTAACAGCCACAAACATGGTAAAACTAACAAAAATTGAAAACTAATTTAATAGACATATAACCTATAAGCAAAAATGTTTCCTATTACAAATATTTTATAGTATCACAGAAGAAATATTTAGGAGTAAAAAATGAAAGACATTAAGAATGTGCAAAATATTTCTAAAGAAAAAGTTATTGTGAAACTCTACAAATACTGACCAACAAACCAACTGGCCATTTATGAACCATGGTATTACTTATACTAACTAGAATCATACTGTAAATTGAAGAGAAATGTTTAAAATATATTTCCAACTTTGACTTTAATGTAGCAATACTAAGCATGTGATATGAAAAGTTAATATTCAATAAATATGGAGGGTAACTCATACCTTAAATTCCTCCAAGATTTTGTAATTTTTCCCATGATATTCACAAAAGTTTTTCACTTCTTTGCACTCAGGACAGCATCCATTGTGTTCCACTTTAGTACACTTTGGGTGAATTTTTGGGCATTCTGGCTGGTCACAAACAGGTCCATCTAGAGCACAGACACAGGGACAGTTGGAATGCCCAGGGAAAAACTGTTCTCCCAACTTGTATACAAAGCCGCTGTCATCCACACACCCTTTCCCTCGATAGTCATCAAAGATCAGATTGTCATTACTGGAGGTCTGGTCACCTTCATCAGCAGGATAGTCTTCATGACTGATGGCAGCAGAGGTGACCAATCCAGGGATGACCAATAGAAGTATGCAAGCTTCATGAATATGAAGAGCCATCCCCCTCCTCAAAGGCTTCTGGATGTGCTCCTAATATTACATATATTCAGCTCCTTCCATGGGAATACAAGAAGGGTAGGCTGAAAATAAATATTTAAAGAAAGAATTTGACATATACAAAGAGATTATAGAGTCACTTAAACCCAGGCTGTTAAATTATTTGGGTTCAATTTGGAAGCTACTAAGACAATAAATAGACTAAATTCATGCAACTGTCTATATTTTATTATGAAATTTGGAGAATGGATTCTTGGCAATATATACATTAAAGTTTGTCCACTATGGAGTCATTTTACATAGGCACCTCCAGCTTTATATTTTGAATTTGAAAGATCTGTTTAAATTCTGTTTAAATTTAAATTTAAATTCTATAAGTGATTTTACTGAGCCTAAAAAGGGGTGATTGCAAGTAGTTACTGGCAAATAGTTCATTAATATTTGGATTCATATCCTCTATTTTTCTTTAAAGTAGAATAGTCAGTAATGACTATATGTTATGATTATTTGTATCAAAACTCAAGAGATAGTGAAAAAAATCAATTCTAAAAGAAAGAGACTAAACCAACATTTCAATATAAGTTCTAATTGAAATGCGGCCAGTATAAGTTCTTTCTTCCTTATTTGTGCCTATAATCAGAGAGAAACAATGGTTTCAACACGAATGACTTGTTTCTGTAAACAAGGGTCTGGAGCTTGAACATAACAAATAATAAAGAGCATAGATATTCCACAGTGAAGAAGAGAAGCAATATTTAAAATAATAAATAATGCAAAAATTACTCTCACTATTAAAAAGGATTTATCAAAAAACATTTATTTTTCTTGTTGTTCATATCTTTATTTTACTTAGGAGGTAAGCTCCTAGTGGGCAGGAAAGCTATATCATGAATATTTTTTAATAGCAACTAGAATCTAGTGTATTACTTCCATATAATATAAACACTATTCACAAAATTTTGATAACATAACTCTTGATAAGCCACAATTATCTTTAGTCAATCTGTGCAAAGATATCATCATAAAACTGTTTATCGAAGTTTCTTAAAATGGTGATAAGGCATTGCCATTCATAGAAAACTTGCCTTATTAACAGGATTACATCCATTCCTGTAACTTCACTTGGTATTAGTACTTGGTGTGAAGTGTTTGTAGTGGGCTCTTATTTAAATGTTTAGAGTAAGCCACACAAAGGCTCTGGGAAAACTGGGACTTTGGGGAGTAGTAGATAAGAAAAAGTGTAAAATGTTTCATTTGTTTGTTTAAATGTTATCAGTTTTATGCCAATGTCACCAAAATTGTACATAGAATATTTTCAGGTATGTAAGTGTCATTCACTGGTTTATTTTCAAATTATATTAAGAGCACAGATAAACTATATTATTTTAGTCTGATATACACAGATGATCACTTTAAACAAGATGAAGATGCCATTAGAAAACTTCATAAACTATTGCATTACAATTGAATTTTAAGTTGGATATGAAAATTCTAGTAATAGTAAAATGGATGGTAGTATATTCATGTCCTCTTTTCAGAGAAATATGATACTAGAATTCCTCTCACATTCTCTGATATTAGAATTCCTTTTGGGTAGGTAATGATAAAGGAGATGGATTTCTCTTAAAATATGTCAAAAATAATGAGTCATGACAGAACAAGAAAAATGCAAACCTATAATTCTACTTGAGAAGCTGGAAGCTCCCTTTGACAAAGCATTTTTTCCTCCTAAATTACTACAGAGGCCACAAACATAATAGAAGCTTCTGAAAAAGCATAAATATATTTTACTAATTAAAGTATGCATTTATACACCTCTCATATATTTAGAAAGTTGGAAGTAAAGGAAGCTACTGTGCATCCTTATAATATTCCAGTAGTATCTGTCAATGCATGCGAGATAAGCCATATAAAACACACATATGATTCTGCTTCAAAGGACACAGACAGAAAATGATCTCTTTGTAAGCCACAGGTAGGCATTAATGTATAGGTTATGATAAAGGTAAACTTAAAGGTAAAAATAGAGGTGTGATACCCACTTTACATAAACATTAAACATGCTTTTATCATATGAAATACATTTTAAAGTCCACATGAAGAAAACAAAAATTTCTTTTTAATATAATAAAGTTCTTAGGCTATTTTTTAAATAAAGCTTTCTTCATGACTGAGCTGCTGGATTACAGTTTAAGACATTATTTAAGAAAATAAATAGAAATCAACTAATATGTTATCTGAATATTTTTAACATTGTTAAACTGAAGCTCACTTCCTGGCTAAACTTTCCCCCCTCCCCACATTACTACATATAATTTAAAATGACTGCATCTATTTCTTTGAGAAAACAAGCATAACTCATATCAAAAGATATACTTACCTAATCACTCTGGAGGTTAATGGGGCTGGTGGTGGGGTCACAGAGCAATATGAACTAAAAGCTCAGGTATGTTTTAGAAAAGCAGTTCCTCTTTAATCACCCAAAGAATACATTTTCAGGCATGAATTAAAGGCAATCCATTCTCTCTACCTCCCATTTCAAAACAGTCAAGAAGCAGTCTCCCACCCTTCCAGAGAGGAACACAGCAGACACACATAAGAAATATGCTTTGGACCTGTCTTCAGAATTCAACACAAGAAGCAATTCTGGTCCTGTAGAAATCCAGACCCCAGTAGCAGAATCATATTGAACTTATTTTTAGAATTTTCTTAGATCCTTCTATGAAATTTCCTGGCTGATTTCACCTCCTCCACACATGAGTTCACTTACACGATGTTTGCTACGGCAGTAGAGGTGATTTGGCTGGGATCAGAGGATCACAAACAGCAACGGCACACAGTAGCCTAAAGCCCGCTCCGCCGGCAATACCATCAGCATCGTTCACAGTACATTGCTTGAATCCCTTCTCACACACGAAAAAATGCTAACTGTGGAGATGAAGGAGAGGAGCAACTTTAGCTGGGATTCTGCATCACTGAGAGCAGTTTGCAGACTGCTGATGTGGAGCTCATTCTGCCGGCAGCCGGGAATTCCTCAGCACCACGGACAGCGCCAACAACTGGCTTCTGAGCCTAGCCTGGTCGAAATCCCCTCACTGCTTTAGTCCAGGCTAGAGCGTTTACACAGTCGCGCTTTACACAGCAGATGCGTGCATTAGGAGAGGAAAAGCATTCTACGCGAGAGACACTTATTTGCATTGAAATTACAATCAGAAATTTAAAAGATTGTAATTATACCTAATGCATTCTTGGATGGGCTGCAGAGATGAAAGTTCCGGAAGAGACTTGAATTTAGATCTAAGCCATCTGCAGTCCTTGATTATTATTAATAGATAAAGCATACTCATTGTCTAAGAACCTGTGAAGATGTATGCTCGCTGATTCTGTTTGTCCCTTTGGTTGCAGAAAGACTTTCTCTGTGCTACATGATTAAACTTCAGGTTTCCTGCAGATTGGCTTTGATTCAAAGAAAAAAAAAAGTAGCCGCGTTCTCCTGCAGTTTGTTCTCTAACATTAAAAATCAATCTCCTGTAATTCATCTAGTCTGTCATTAGGCGTCATTGTAAAGCTGTTTCTTCCAAACCCCTGGCAAAGATGCTGTCTTTAAATTCGTATCCAAATGAGAGAGAAAAAAGACCCAGACACAAATGAAGGGGGAAAAGTTACTATTTTTTTTTATTGGTAACGGTATGAACACTAAAATGTAAGCCTAAGTGTGCTTTTTAAAGCAAACTGTAAGTGTTGCCGACTGGCATGTTTAACCAATTATTCGCTGCTTTGGAACTGCGAGATGTATTTAAAGGGAATGCTTCCTGCAGTGGCATACGCTGTTGACTGATGGTCAAGACCACATTCGAACTGTGCCGTCAGCGCCTCCTGAAAACAGACTCTCCATCGTGAGAAAACACCACCGAGTGTGCCTCGCTCTGGTGGCCCACCAATATGTGAATCTTCCCCGATTTAAGATCTAGCAAGTGTATGACCCCAGTGCCACTCGCTTGAGCTAAAACTCGACCAGAGAGAGAGAGAGAGAGAGAGAGAGAGAGAGAGAGAGAGAGAGAGAGATCAAAGTTTTATTTCAGCCATAGTTTATAAGCAACAGAATAGTGTGTTTGGTTTCACCTGTGATCTAACATCCTCATTTTATTTAGATGTTAATCATTAAATACGTTAAATATGAATTAGCTCATTCCTGTGCATATACAAATAATTTGAGTCAAAATCAACACACATCATTGATTAGATTTTAAAAGTTTAGAATGGGAAAATAAAGTCTAATGTTCTACATACTCTTTATCCACAGGACATCAAATGCCCTGCCATTCCACTTATATTGATGAGTAATCACAAATTGAAAGAAACAAAGCAAGGAAATTTCTTCCTCAAATGAATATGGAAAAAGTTTCAAAAGGTATACTTTTAAAAATTCATCTGTGAAAAAATATCTATCTTTATAGATATAAATCATGTATAATTTATATTTTAAAATTTGTATTCCTCTTTAAACTTCTTTATCAATGGTAAATCACTGCTTAAAATTCTAATAATATACAATCAATTTTGCTATAAACATGGTAATACTCATGAGCTCAAATTTTCTTTGGAGTTGCAGAAATAAAATATCTCCATTTCAAAATGATTTTTTTGAAACTGGTCTCACTTTGTAATTTAGGCTTGGCTTGAACTCTCTAATTAGCCCAGGCTGGCCTCAAATTCGTGGCTGGGCTCTCATCTCAGCCTCCCAAATGCTGGGATTACAGGCACATGCCACTATGACTGGCACGGTGAGGCTTTTTTACTATAATTTAAAGTTCAAAAGTATATTAAACTAAATTTTTGTTACATAAGATAGGTGAATATAGTGCAGAGTGTTCTCACAATTTTCATACCTTCTATTATTTTAGTGAATTATTTCTTCAAAGGGAAAACAACTTAAAACTCCAATTTAATTCACAATTTTTATTTAAAAAGTCCAGTAATAAACTCTCAGAGGTCTCACAGACAATTAAAAGCAATAGGGTGTTTATATACATCAGTACTAAAGGTAAGTAACTAACATTGCTGTCCATTGGATTACTTAATTACATTTAGAAGGCATATTATCATCCAGTGTTTAAGATTTATTAAACACTTTCAATGTACTAGATATTGTATGTAGTAGTTGATATGAATGATCTCATAAATTTCTTTACACAATCTAAAGTTAAGGAAAATAATACTAACTCCATTCTGTAGTGAAGACAGGTTTGGGAAGACTAACTTGATCACAATGACACCTTAAATACAGAAGGAGCTAATCATAACCACTTCAGATCCATACCCTGGGTTTTAGCCATCATGTTTTCTACTTCTGGTAAAGCATTGTTACCCATGATGTCTTCTTGAACACCTTAGATAAATGATGTATCATGGAAAATAGGATTTCTCCATTTCATAATAAGATTTTGAGAATTGTATCATCATAAAAACCACAGTAAAATATTTAATCCCAAATTACACCTCAAATCATCATGAATATCTCTTAAACAGAGAGAAGTTTTAAAAGTAAAGCTAACCATGATAAATCTGGTCTATTTGGAAACCTTATAACTACTGGGCTTCTTCATCTAGAACAAAGCCTGACACAGCAAAGACCCTTAGGATGGATTAGAGTGTCCAAAGCAGCAGATGTGAATATTTATTATAAACCTCCTTCTACAAAGTCTTGCTGACAGAGGCATTACATATGGATTTCACTTCCAGCCTCACTGCATAGGCAGTTTGCTGCTTGTGACTTTCCTAAGAGTCAAACAAATAACTTTTCTATAGTCTTTATACAATAGCTGAAAAAAGATCAATTTATTATTATTATTTTTGTTGTTATCAAATCTAAACAAAACTAAACAGAACCAAGGGCCATAATAAAAAGGAAATGATTTAGCTTTTAAATTGTTGGTTTTTTCTTTGCTGAATTCAAATCTGTAAAATATCACACTTGTAAATATTTATGAAGGGTCTTGATAATTTCTGAAATTTTTTCAAATAAAGAGAAAAAGATGATAATGTTGGAACCTGATGAGAGGATTATAGAATTTAACAGCACCATTCTTCAGGTGTTTGAAAAACTTGTCTGTGCCAGAACGCATTTGAATCAGCAGGTATATAGTGAGGTTTTTGCCTTTACCTGAATTCATTTTCAGAAGGTTTTCTGAAGATTGCGTGTATACCATAAGTAATGTCTAAAATATGTATAAAGTTATAATCATGTCAAACTTTACTTAAAGTATATTAGATAATTACATAGCATATAATGTCTGACTTAAAGATTAGTTTGCCCAAGACTGGTGCAACCACTGTGGAAGTCAGTATGGAGATACCTCAAAGAACTAGGACTAGAGGTCCCATTTGACCCAGCTATTCCCCTGCTGGGGATCTTCCCAAAA